CTGAGGTGGGGGGGGTGGAGGGGGGAGCTTTCCCAGGACAAAGAGATGAATATATTTAATGGAATGAAAAAGAAGGGGGTGGGAGACACACAAAGACAAGCGGGCGTGTGAGTGAGGGGGAGGAAGGGAGAGTGGGAGTGGGGCTGAATAGTTTGACAAGTGTCTGTCAGGGTCAGTGCTGCGGTCCAGCTCCGAGTGCAGGGACACGGACACGGAGGACGAGTCCAAACACCGGCGCTCGGTACTTTTCCACCGACCACAGACGCCACTGCTCGGTCATGACTCGGTCTGTGGGCGTGGGGGCCAACGCTGGAGTTGGGGAGTTTCTGGAGAGGAGCTCAAACCAAGTGCGTCTCCCCCTCTGCTCCCCTGGTCCTCTGGCACATGGTACGGTCCATTTAAAAGGCGGTGAGTTCTGGTCCTCTCTGAGAGCAGCTGCTCGCAGCACAGTCTCCTCGGCGGGAGCTCTCACTCTCCCCCCGCGTCTGCATCTGCCCTGTCCTCCTCCTCCCTCCTCTCTGCTGCTCTGCTCTCGCAGTACGCACTTCTACTCTCTGCTGTACTTCACAGTACACGGTCGTGTAGTTCGGACCGCACGCACGCACGCACGCACGCGCTCTCTGGACAGTAACAGGTAGACCTCCTCACCCCCTCCTCACCCCCTCCTCACCCTCAGAGGACAGGGACCGGGCTTGGACTTGGCTTCAGGTTTGGGTGTTTGTAAAGTAAACTGTGAGAGGAGGAGCACAGGTGGAGGGAGAGCAGGAGGAGGTGGAGGAGGTGGAGGAGAGGAGGCTCTTGGCTTCTCCCCTCTGACACCATGCTGCTCTCTGTGGGTTTGGTCCTCAGGGGAAAATCCTGAAGATGATGGAGGACAACAAGCAGCTGGCTCAGAGGATCGACGGGGCCATCCAGTCCGCCAGCCAGGAAGTGACCAATCTACGCTCTGAGCTCAACGCCACCAGCCGCCGGCTGGCTGAGCTGGGTGCCAGCAGCCCCCCCACTCTGGAGAACCATCACCAGCACAACCACCACGATGACGCTCTCCACGCCATCCATTATCGGGGTGAGTGTTCCAGGATGTGAAAGTGTGTGTGTCCTCTCTCTCCCTCTCCCCCCTCCCTCCCTCTCTCCCCCCTCCTCTCTGTATCTATCAGAGTGAGAACACTGACATGTGTGACTGTGAGAAGTCAACAGTGAGGAACATTAAAAGAATGTGCTGCAGGCTGACAAACATCCCCTGCTCCTCAGCTCCTCAGCTGACTCTCCCTCCACTCCACACCAACGATTACAAAGAGGGAAAAAAGACAAGAGTTTAGTTATTAGATGGGAGGGGTCAGGGTTTAGTTCCCATGCAGAAGCTGAGGTTTCTCAAGCTCCGGTTCAGACCAGGATCAGGTCCAGGTCTGAAGTAAACAGTCTAGTTTGGTTGAGAGTTCGGTCGATGGTCCGTGACGTGTAAATGCTGTAACGTGATTGGTCAGTGGCAGAGGTTTGACATCACCGTAGTGTTCATTCAGTTTGTTTTGATGTTAGCTTCAGATATTAGCAAATGACAGTTCACTGTGGCTAATCTGAGTTAGCTTTGATGGTGAGTCTCTTCAGACTCTTCCAGGGTTGTCGGTTCTACTCCTCTGGTCTGCTGTGAACCCAGGATCAGTGTGACATCATTGACGCTGTAGTTCAGTTGTTGTCTCAGTGTCTTCACTGTCCTCCTCTCCTAAAATTATTGAAAAGGATGTTTTTAAATACAAACCTGTCAAATCTTAGTTAAGTTTTTTTAACTGCAGTCCAAGAATAAAAACAGAGATACAGGAAGTGTCTGACGGTTCAGGCTTCAGTGATGGATTCAAGTGTGTGTTTGAGAGGATCGCTAACGCGGCCGCCCAGATCCAGACACGTCGTAGGAGTTGAGCTTTGATGTCTGTGTTTTTCTTTGATACATTCAGAAACCAGCGGGTGTTGAGATCATAACCCCGCACACGTTTCACTCCAGTAAACGACTCACTGTGTCACGGCGCTCATACGTGTTCATACGGAGCTGAGCGGCAGGTGATTCATCTGCCGCCTGCGGCCGATCCCTGTCTAATGTGGTTAAAAGGAACTGTCCGTGTTTTCTTTTCAACTTTAAGACGTGTTTGCATTTTTTACCGTTTTATGTGTGGAATCAAAGCTGTGAAGTGGCTTAAATATTCTGTTTAAGAACCAAGAGCGCGCCGTCACGTCAGCGCCATCGGGGTCGACTCGTGTTGGTGCGTGGGGCCGCAACTAGAAGCTGGTTGGGTGTGGAGTTAGATCGAAGAGGGAGTTCACCGGACCAGGAGGAGGAAATGAAGACGACCGTGAAGCTGCGTCGTGACAAAGGTTGAGAGTTTGAAGCCTGGAGCACGAAAAGCAGTAAAAGTTAGGAAATCTCTGACTTGGATTTGGATCTTTTCACAGTTTTGTCTGGTCTTAAAATAGTTGAGCAATAATGTGCTCAAAAAGAGGCTCATGTGGTCACACAGGGCTCGACTTGGTCTGAACTTGGACCTGAAGCTGAAGGTCTGACACCACTTTGTCTCAACTCTCTCTACTTTCTGTCGCTGGTTCGCTGCTGCTCTGTGAACAGGCATTCCCACATTCCAGAATGTCAGGCGAGTGATGTCATACTTCCTGTTCCCAGAGGCCAGAGCAGCAGTCAGGTGTTGAACACACACACTCACACACTCACACACACACACTCACACTCACAGCTCCAGCCTCTTCTAACCTGCACTGGAGAACGTTCCTCAGTGTTTCAGCTGGAGAACCTGGAGAACTGTGGAGATCCAGCCTCAGCATCAGCATCAGCATCAGCATCCAGGACTGAGCAACATCAGCTGTTGTCCAGGAGTCTGTCCCATAATGAACGGCTGTGGGTGGTTAATTTGTTGACGCTCCCTTGTTCATGATCAGAACATGCGTATGACCATCTGTGACAAAGTCAGTGTGGAGACACCTGACAGGTCCAGATGTTGGTGACAGGACACTGGTCAGTGGGTGGACACTGGTCAGTGGGTGGACACTGGTCAGTGGGTGGACATCAGTCATCAGTCATTCACTCAGAGGACACACCGTAGAGATCAGAGTTTCTAAAAACTGCAGTTTTTCTGTGACACCAGAAGATGAAATATTAAAGTTTTTCATCCTCAGAACAAAGTACTACTGTTTACTGCAGTGAAAGACTTGAAGACGTATTTGTACCTCGGTCTGTAGTAGAGGTAATACTTTCTCACCCTGTAGGGGGAGCAGCAGTTTTTTAGTTCGTACTGTACGACCTGGTGTACAACAGGGACGGTTGTCACAGTTCTGTGGTGCTGTACACCAACAACACCGTGACAATTCACAGACACCAACCAGCAGTTTGGAAACTCGACATGTGACTTCTTTTCAAAAGCAGTTTTGCATCTTTTAAGTTGCATTACTGCCACCTACTGGGCCTCCACTGAATTGGTGAGAAATAATTTCCGTCCAGAAACTAGAGAAAAAAAAAGAGACTGTTGTAATTATTACTTTATGAAAAGTAGTTTTATGAAGATGTTTTCATCTGTAGTCGTCCTGACCAACCAGTCAGAGCCACAACTTTTACTGTGTTATGACAAAGAGCCACATGTGGCTCCCGAGCCACGGGTTGGCCACGCCTGAGTTAGAACAGAGAAGAGTCGTCTCTCTCTCCTGAGTTTGTCCTCTCATTACTTCATCACACACATGAGCAGGGCTGGGAACGGGGTAAAAAGACTACAGGGGCTAAACCCCAACTGTGTCTAAATCTCTGGAGACCACCCGTGTTCCTGTTCGCTGTTCACATGCAGAGAAAGTATGTGT